CACGCTGTCTCCGTTATTCTCAAAAACAACGGGTACAATAAAAGAAAATATTTTTGATTTGATGAAACTTCATCAGTATGATAATGATCATCAAATGCGGACCCAAATTTTTGCAGGTCATTTCCTCTTACTGCCAACCGGGTTACATTGACCAGGTATTGAGCTTTTCCTGTATCTCAGTATTGAAGTTTTTTAATGAACAAATGATATTATCAATCGATAGGTAATCAATTTTAAAACTTTTTGCAATTACATCTTGATTACTATTAGGAAAATTTTAGTTATTTTAGTTTGTGTGAGTTAGTTTTCGACCACCACGAGGCAGGCCGGAATCCATTCTTCTAATCTCCTCAAAGATACATAGCAACCTGGCTGTAGTACTATGATTCGAAGAAATCTAGGTGAAGCCATCATTTGAAAATCGCCCCGAAGGCGGCGCAATCGTGATCTTGCGGCAGCCTAATGGTGAAGTCCACGATGCCTGACGGCTCATTCTTCGAATCCATTCAAATGTTGTTTCCATTTATATACATGTCTATTATTGATTTTATTTCAATTTGAGATGTTTTTCAAGGTTGACCATCATCTCAATCATTTGCAATTCAAATTTGGCCTAAAATAATACGACTCAACTTTTCACAGGATCTGATGACCGCATGCTGACCGTTCTCAACTTTTTTCTTCCTTAAAAATGAACAAAAGTGTCTGAACAATAGTTTTATAACGATCAAACTATTTGATAAGTTCATTATCTCGAAATAGCAATTGAACCCAAATAAACTAGTTCCCCCATTTGAAGAAGTTTTTATCATTTACATCAAATTTGTTCTGCCAAATTTTTTTCTAAAACAGGAAATCAAAATGAAATATGAAATACCAAGAAATTATTCTCATAAAGAAAAAACCCGACACCTCTCCCAATGACCACCGGTATGAGTTAAAACAACTCTATTTGATGTTTTACTCATCATTTTTATTATAACTAAATAGTAGTTCCTGGATGTAGACTTTTCATACCTAAAAACAAGACATTCGTCTTATGACTATTTTAATGAAGAAACCAAAAATATTTCGATTTTCAAGCAATTTTATTTAAAAGTGGGTTCCCAATTAAACAGTCATTTAGATTGATCCAAGCCTAGAAGTTATTTCAGTTCTCGGGTTTATATTCTCTTTAAAAAGTGAAAGGGCCAGATCTGTATTGATGGAGACCAATAATCTTATTAGAAGAGATGCAATAAAAGTACTCGACCAAGTTGGGTTCAAAGATAGGATTTCGAGATGATGGTCCTCTCTCAAACATAGTTTCCGATCGTTATAAAACTATTGTTCAAGACACTTTTGTTCATTTTAAGGAAGAAAAAAGTTGAGGAACAGGTCACATCTGAGGTCAAGGGATCCGTAGAAAAACAAGTCAGTCATTTGCAGGCCAAATTTGGGTTCAAATGAAATTTCCGAGATGATGGTCAACCGAAAACATCTCAAATTGAAATAAAAGAATCAATAATAAGACGCATGTAAGTAAAGTAGACAGCATTTTACAGAGATGGATCTGTGAGAATGGCGTCGAATCAGGGACTTCACCCATTGACTGCCCTGAGATACGATTGCGCGCTTTCCAGGAACTGTGATTTTTCTTGAAATGATAGTCCACTAAGTTTTTTCAAACTAAGTAATGGCAGCATGCAGCTTCTCATAGGTATCTCTTTTGGGAAGTTAGGAAAATCTCAGTCTGGCTCAAACATGGTAGCTTCCCGAAGAACTCAGGAAGACACAAAAGTACCGTAACTCAAAATTTTCCTACAACCCAAGACAGTATGTACCTTAAAAGTTCTTAAAATTGGATTACCTATCGTTGATATATCAACATCTACTAAAACTCTTCAATGCTAAGGATACGCAGGTGCCTACTACCGTAACCAGCTACAGTGGGGAAATGAAAACAAAAGTTGGTCCGCATTCGGATGATGGGTTGTCCCACTGGATGAGTTTCCTCGGAATCAAAAATATTTTTTTTTATTGTACCCGTTGCTTTTACAAATTTTGAGAATAACGGAGACAGCGTGTTAAATTCCTTCAATGACCCCCTGGAAAAATTTCCTCTTCTTTTTCCTCCAAGTTCAAAAGATCTTCCTCTTCCAATAACATTTCGAAAAAACAAGTGATGCTGAACATTTGTTCGTTTCTGCAACGCCTTATCGATCAACTGGCTGCCAAACATGTGAGAGTGAGCAACTGTGACGGAAACCGCGACGCGTCGCTTTCCCGCCCACACACGCGACGCGGCTCACCTGTCTTGGCCTGAATGGCTGCTGCTTGGTGGAGGAGCATCGACGGTTGAGTTTCGCCTGGTCTGCCGGATCGATGACGATAATCGAAGAGGTGCTCCTTCCTGAGAAACACTTTATCTGATCCAAGTGGCCACTCAAGTGAAAAGGTACTTCCAGTCCAAATTTAGAGGGGATCGTTCCTGACCCAATTTTGAAACTATGCTCAAAATTCTCATTTCATACGAAAAAAAAAGGAACTAACTTCTCTCCGTAGTGTAGTGAACTTCCTCTTCATCCGACGACTTTCGTAAACATCTCTTCTGAAAAAAATTCATAAGTCAGAAAATTTCCAAATTCTCACTTACATCTTCGTATCCCGGAGGTTGATGAGAACACCTGGAAAAAATCAATTTGAAGTTTAAAAATTTTTTTGTATTTTCGTACGTTTAAAAGGTAAAAAGAATCTTCAAAAAGACTATAAAGATTAAAAGTTCACGGATATGCAGGATCACCAGCAATAGTACCAAAAAAAATTTTTTTTCAAGAAAAATGCCTCAAACCTCCGGCTCAACGAGACCTTGAGCATTGCAGGGCTGAGCATTCTGTGTTTCGCCGGTCGGAGTTCAGACTAAATCCTCGAAACTCTTTTCACTTTTTCTGGCTTCCTGCAAACAAAAAGCTGAGGTTAACGACCAGGTGTCTCGAAGATAAGGAACTTTTTCCGTCTAACTTAACGATCGGGATAACGAGCGAATTGCTAGGAAGTATCAAGAAACATTTCGGGGCCGATCACTGCGAGTTGTAACAGTCACGGGATGAATCACAATTTCGTAAGGAGAGCGAAATGGAAGCTCATTGGATATCTTGTCGGTTTTTAAAATAACTAGGGATAGAGTTGATATTATTATTTTAAATTATTTAGAGGAGGTTACTTCACACTAATAGCGAAATATTGGGCGACCACGGTGTTCCGCGCAATGAAAAAAAAAATGCGAAATTTTGGGTCCCAGCGGCATATTATCCGTGGCGCATCATTGCGCCCTTCTCATCGTTTCTGATGCAAAAAAATTGAATTTCTTCACTTTTTTTCATTGGTTTTTTTACTTTTTTTCTATTTCTTGCATTTATGTGATCCGCTTCTCTATGGGTACATTTTGTGGAGTTTTTAAATTGCGCACTTTTTCTAAACCGGTTTCAGATCTTTAACTTTTTTTCTCAAAATAGTTGAAGATTTTTTTCTAAAAAGTCCTAATTTTTTTCAAAATTTTTGAAATCTGTTTCGCGACATGAAAAAGAGTAACTCTATTTCGGAAACTATAGTTTTTTTAATTTAATCAGTTAATAATAAAAAAAGTTATTATCTAGTTCCTTTGACGTAGTTTGAAACCGGTTTCGTGTAAATTAGAGCCAAATTGAATTTGCTGATGCAGTTTAATGATTTTTGATATATGCATCATCTAAATTATATATTTTTTTCTAGTTTTTTTGATGGTTTTTCGGATTTAAACAAAAAAATTTCGCCATACGAGGTGTTTTTTTCTAAAATTTCTGCTTTCTATCCATTACTTGTTTTTTTCTGAAGCTAGGTTTTCGAGGTATATAAAATGTTTTTTCATTTGCTCCTCGAATTTTTCCTCATTTCAATATTTTTTTCGTATTTATAAATGCTTATTCAATGGGAGCTGATTCATCTACATAATATTTTTTTGTTTTTTTATTTTTGTAATCAGTAATTTAGAGTTTTTCCCCTTTCGAAATCAATCCTAAATGTTTTTTTAAATGTAAGTGAATGTTTTTCACATCATATTCTTCAAACTGACAAAATTTCGAATATTTCAGGAGCTATTATCCTGAAATCGCAAAATTCTAAAATTGAAAAAAACATTTTGAGTATGCGATAGTGCGTCTCGGTGTGCTTACACCCTAAGCATCATAATTTACGAAAAGTCTTGACCTTGCGTAATGAAAAAAACACCGTGCGACAAAGAAGTTCAGATGTCTCTGTAGTATTTTCTTTTCCAATCTAGCGATGACAGGAAGAAAACAGAAAATTTTCAATCGGTTTTTTGAGAAAAAAAAAATTGACAAGTCTGAGTGGTAAAAGGTTGCAAACCTATCGATACCAAATATTCTCCATTTGAGTGGGATTCCAATAAGCTTCCGATCAAGGAGTTTCAAACAGATTATATTTCTTTCAGATCTCAAAGCACAAAATGGAAACTGAAACCTATGTTTAAACCAAGATATAATCTCTTTCAATACAATTGTCTCACGTTCAAAAAGTTTGAAAAAAGCAAGGCAGAAAAAAACCATTACCTGTTCAAATTTCCTTACTGGGGTAATCAAAAGAGCATACACCAATTTCACAATAGTTTCAAAAGAGCTTCTGCAGAGTGATTTTTCAAGCAATACTTCTGTGCCTTCAAAGACCCCAGCAAAAGATTTTGAACAAACTATAAACGCACTGATATCCGCACTGCTGCAATAAAAATTAATGACTTTACGAATCAAACTTTGGAAAAAATACGAGTGCAAGCAATTTCGCCGCAAGCCAAAATATTTGGACGAGCACAAAACGACAGCTGAGTTGAGGTTTTCAACAGAATCCGTGAAACGACAAAGCAATAACCGAGTTGTCAGTCGTTAATCACCGATGGGTGGCTATATATCACCTTTTTCTTCAAAAAAAAAGAAAGAAGAAAAGAGGCAAAAATTTAACTAAACTTTCGAGATCTTGTCACCTATAGCCAAAAACCGGGACGAAAGAAGGATGTCGTTGAGCCCAGTGGTCAACAAGTTAATCAAAGAGGAACGAAGAAAAGGAAAGATTTATGTGCTTTGAGGCGTTTGTATCGACTCACAAAGAATAGTCGGGTGTTCAGTGAGAAAATTCACGGCAAATGTATCAGTTGACATAAAAAAAGACAAGCACATTTTTAAAAAAAGAGAATAAAAAAATTATCCTGCGTAAATAGGACTTGACTCTTGAAGAGAGGAGCCGATCATTAAAGGCGCATGCCCTTTTTCTTTTTTTTTCTCTTTTTTTCAACATTTTTATCAATTTTTTTTCGATTCCAAATAAAATGAGTTCGGAAAAAAAGTCAAAAAAATATTTTTTTCGTGATAAAAAGAAACTTCGAGATCACTCGGAAAAATACTTTTTCAAAAAAATTAAGCTTTAATCTTAAAAAAATAAATATCCATATAAAAGTATATTATGGAGAAAAAATTCATTAGTCGATTTTTTTGCAAGATAGATGTTTGCATTTCGAATTTCTTATGAGGACTATTTTTTTGTTAAACTAATCGTCAACTGAGCCCAGTTTTTTTTTTTGTTAATATGGTCTATTCAGATTTTTGAATGTCAAGTCGTCTCTCAAGCTCCGCCTCCTAATGGCGCGATAAACCAATCAGAGAGCGGGCCATCCACAGAGTGTTTTTTTGAATGACGTCATTGCACTTGACATTCAAAAATCTGAACAGACTATACCTTGTACCTTGCTAATCGGCTAGAAAACCAGGCTTGTGCGAGGGCCGGCCCGTCACCCTGCCGCCCCCCACCATTTCGTAAGCCCGGCCCGGCCCTCGCAGAAAAAAATGGCCCGCCCGGCCCAAAAACGCGCAATTTTTTTCTAGTCGGATATCAAGTTTTTCCGACAAAAAAATTACGTTTTTGCTCAATTTTTTTCACTCAAATTTTTAACAAAAACCATGATTTCAAAAGTAAAAGCAACATTTTTGGTGAAAAATTTTTTTAAATTAAATTTTTAATGAAGCCCGGCCTGACGCACAAGCCTGCTAGAAACTGAAGAAGATCCAGAGAGCGATGAAGGTTCAAGGTTCAAACATTACAACTAGTGCACCTTTTTACAACGTTTCCTCAATTACCTTAAAAAAGACTTGAGAATTTTTGAGAAAAGGATGGTAGAAAATCATTTTCTGCAGCTTACAACATAGAAAAAAAAAACAAAATTATGTTCCATGATAAGAGAGAAAAAAACAGCAAGGCGGCAAGTGAGCGAGTCAAAAACCGACGGAAGGAGCAGCCTCCCCGTTCCTCGAGCCAATATATCAAAACGCAATTAAAAGCCAGGCCTTGACAACTGCCGTCTTTCCCGGGTCGGCTTCGTGTTTTTGATTGAGAAAGAACACGATCCGAACAACTGCGATCGGAAATAGACGTAGGCCTCACCCACATTCAGCTGAACTCGAACAAGTTTTCTGACAGTGGTTCTCAAGTTTTGGAGCCATCAGAAATGAGAATTTTTTTTTGACTTTCTACCTAGGAACTCCAGAGAGGTCCCTAGACGGGCATTCCTAGGCGCCCTTGGAGAATCCCCTCTAAGGAGCACTTTACCAACCCCTATAGCCAGGCTATATGTAGGGTCCGCAAGCCATTTCTTCAGAATGATTCAAAAAATATGTTTTTCACATTGTTCGATAGGGGAGACTGTCCATTTTCATAATCCGTTTAGTTTTTGAAAAAAGGTTCACTAAGAAAAAAGTTATGGCCAAAAAACGAGCGCGCGCGGCGTACAACTGGAGGCAAAATCTCACGGTTTACCCGCTGCCGCACGCTTTCTTTTTAAATGTTTTTGCGCGTTTCTGGACCGTTTTTAAATCGGTTTTCTGTTCTGAGAGGTTGTCCGAACTGAGCCTCATGTTTTGGTATGAATCTTTTGTACAATCCTCATAAGAAGTTTTGATGAAATATCAAAAAACTACTTAGAAAAAAGGTCAGAAGGAATTTTCAGCTTATTTTTCTTTTTTCTAATCAGAAAAATTATTATCATTTGGTTTGGAAAAAAGAAAAAATGAAAAATAATGTTATTTCGAAATAAAACAGGAAAATGTGCAATTTGACTCGAAAAACGGCTCCTGCGACATTTTAAAAGGGCGCATCGGTGTGTTTGACGCAAACACTGCTACGGACACTTGCACGAAATCTTCCGAAATTTCAAAAATTGCCATTTTTTTCGAGGATTTCAAAGCCGTTATTTTTTTCGCGTCGATCGATTTTTCATAATTTTTTTCATTGATAGAGTTTTTGAACGCTTAATAACATAATCAAAAAAATATAGACGCGATCCTATTCTCTCATGCGTCAACGAGGCAGGCGAAAAAAAGGAGGTTTTGGTAAAACTCAAATATAATTTGATTCGCTGTCCCAATAATTATTTTTCATTTTGAATTTTTTTATTCTTGGACACACTGTTAGTTTTTAAATCAAATAAAAAGTATACCATGTCGCTGAAATTTTTTTCGCATTTCAGCTTCAAAGTTTGGTGTCACTTTACAAGCTTTTAATATTTTTTTCGCTTTCGGTAGATTTTTTCATTTTCACTCAAAAAAATAAAGAAAGTGTTAATGTATAACATACTAAAAAAATTTAGAAGCGTTCCTCACTTGGTTTTCTGAAACGCGACGATTTTTGTGAAACTTGTCAGTTTTTTTCGTGTTAAATCTTACTTTTTCGCTTATTTTTGAAAAATACATAGTTTTAAAAATATTCAGTCTTGTAGAGCGTTGTCGATTACATAGGTTTTTCAGAAACAGTTGATTTTTTTAAAGTGGGACTTTAGCTAGTATAAACGCCTCAAA